AGATGTGTCGCCTTTGCCATGTTTGGAAATTCATATTTGTAAATCCAGTTAGCTTCCCAGTTCACAAAGTCTATGGTTTCCAAAATTTTTGCTCTAAAAGTAAAAGAAGTCATTAATGTAAGTATATATGTAGTAACTAAAGTTAAATAAAAATACTAGACCAAAAATACAATAAAGATTTTCCATTTTCTTCAGTAGATAAGAATGTAGATAAATTTATGTATATGTAAGTATATCGATCCTTTTCTTCTCAATTTAAACCATGTCCCGCATGCAGATATTAAATTGAGTTGAAAAGCAATTTTAGTATTTACACTAGGCAAGAAAAATATCAAAACTAAATTTTATTTCTGCATCTTAAGCATAAATCAAATTAGGAGTAAATAAATTTGTTAAATTATTATACAATTAGTTTAACTGTAAAAAAAAAAATTATAGGCATAAAAGTAAAGAAACTAAATTTGAATTTAATCAATTCTAAATGTGATATAGGTCGGTTTTCTCAATTGTTATATATTATCTGATATAAAAATATTTTTATCGATGTTATAAATGTTGTTCTTTTAACATATTTTGTCAACGTTGTAATAAGTAATGAATGAATATGAGAATTTGGATAAAATTTATTGTTTCAAAAAATTATGCCATTGTATGTGCATACATACATACATACATACATACATAGCATATGCTTATATGCGTGTTATATAATTATGAAATGTTTCTTAATTATAACGTATAGATTCCACAAAAAAAAAAATTGTAAATAAATAATATGAATGAAAAAAGTATGCGGTTATACTATAAGCTCTGAATTTTTTACTTAAACTCTACTTCAAAAGCTGTAAGTATTTAAGTTTTACTTTAATATATTTAAAAAGTTTGTGAAAACAAAATTAAGTAACTATCAAAAATTTATGAAAAAGCATACATGATTTCAAATAAATATAAAGACAATGCATCAAGCGAATCAAACTAATCATTTATAAGAAATAAATAAAATTAATGTCTACAGAAATAAAAAATCGTATTTTTTTTTTGTTTGTTTTCGGGGTATGGAAAGTGAATGGAAGTGCAAACATTTTGGCTAGGTTGTCGCCGTCGGCGATAGGACACACTATTTTGAGCTTCGTAGGAATTTTATAAGATCCCTGATTTCGGCACATTTGAGGTCTTACAGGTTATCGAATTGTCTATCCAGAGTGGAGAGGCTTCGCTTGGATAGATCAGGGCTCTGGCATAACTGGTGCAAAATCGTTTCCTCCTCGTCTTCCTCTTGACAACTTCTTCAGAAGTCATGTAAACCTAGCCTAGCCAATAGGGATCCTGCTAAATTAGGCAGTGTCCTGTTATAACAGATACTAACAAACTGATATTCTGCTTATTTAAGCTCAGTAGTGGCGCCGGCCATAGTTTCCTCGCAGTTCTGCAGGTGGCATCTGTCGTTCGCTACTTTAGTGAGCCTCTCGGAAATGAGTAGCTTGCAAGTTGGTAATGGTATTCCTAGTTCATCGTTTATATCCTCAATAGGGAGTTGGTGTTTAAATTGTATGCCTTCTCCTGCCGGCAGAACTCTACCCACTTTCTGGCCAAGGCGTCGTCGCGGGAAACAAAAAAAAAACTGCATTTGGGGGCTTTACCCCTACGGCTGCTGCAATTCAACACACGACACGACATTTTTATAAAGTTTTTATTACAAATAAAATGTTTTTTACAAGGCGAATTTATATAAGGTGGTGTTGTTTCATCAGCTGTGAGTAGTGTTTGATTGTCAAAATTTTGTATTTCGCTTGTGAGTGAGTGAAAACGTGAGTGTTTGTATTTTCTGTCGCCCTTTTTCATTCGGGGAAGAAAAGCTGAAGATTGATAATGGGCCACTAAAAAATAGAAGTAATTGTTGTATTTGTTGAATCGATACCACTTCTATATATTCGCCTTGGTTTTTTTCTATAGAACGCACGAATTACTTCGATTTTTCACTTGAAAGTACACAATACGTTTGCCATACGTTTGCACTTGTTTCTAAACAAAAAGTTTGTTTACGTATTGCCATAAACGTCAAAGTCGGTAAAACCAAATAGCGGTTCCGGGAATGCGCCATCTTCAGTTCATTACACCAGGGAAGCAAACAGGCGTCGTTGATGTACTGATGGGCATATGTATGCACTTATGGACGCAATGTTTTCATGTATGTACATTAGACTGCATCACCAAAAAAAGTTGCGGTTTTTCCGCCGGGATTACT